GATGGTATGATTAAAAACTAGGCCTGAAAATCTGTTTATCAGCTTAAATAAACAAACCACATTATAAGTAATTAGAAGGAATATTTCAGCGAAAATTATGTTTTAAAACATTCTTGCGAATAGTGGATATTCTATTCGTAAGAAGAAAAATAAGGATATCTCAAAGGTAAATTTATCAAAAGAGCCGGTTACTATCGAGTTAATGAGCCGACATTATGGCGATAATGTCCCTACTTGCTACGGAGTGCAGGGAAAAAATTGCGGGCTGGTATTTAAGGATTTAGTTGAAAAATCTTTTGAAATAAAGAGTGTAACAGCTGAAGTAGTTTTTACATTTATTTTCTTAGCTTGGAGCTAATGGGAACATTTCTTGCATGGTTGTAGTTTTGGTATTAAGAGACAAAAATTTAACAAAAAAATAGTGAAAAATTACATTCTAGGCACATACAATAGATTGAAAGTGTAACTACGGGTATGGCTTTTATAAACCATTATCACATTTTTTTAAATTGTGTGCAACACAGACACGTTCTAGTACAGCAAAATGTAGCAAATTATTAAAACGTGTAGATATAATCAAAATACATAAATTCATTTCAATTTTTTTAATAGCTTAATAGAAAATCTGGTTTACAACTAGTAAGGTACATTTAAAGAGCCTTTTTAGAAATACAATTTTTCCCAATAGAAGTCTCAATAAAATGCCATTTGTGATGTTATTTAAGTTCAATACAAAGGAAAACGTTAAGAAGCCAGTTAGTTGCTATTGCCTGTTAACCTCAGGAATATTGTATAGGTACAATATCGTAGTATAAAACAATACACTATAGTGTTTATTTTATATTTACTGACCTTTATAGACGCATATTGAGTTGGTTTTAAAAATATTTTTTTTTTGACGAATTCTCCAAATATATTGTTTCAGAGGTATTAAGTAACGTTTGTATATGTTATCATTAGCAAAATATCATTTGAAACTAGTATGATTAATTACTACTTATTTATGCTAACAACTTTTTGTATTATATTTATAGCAAATTGTATGGTGTCTCTTAAATATTTGTTAAAATTAGTTAGTTTGTATAGTAGTTGAAAGGACTGGTTGCATTTGGTTTAACTTTAAACCTGTCTATAATGTATACTATGAGAATCCACCGTGATCCGTCAACAGTGTTTCCAGTATCGTTGGTTTTATTTATTTCACTTTTATGATGGGGCTGAATCAACTCTCGATAGGAATAATATCTTAGCTGTATCACCGTTTGTATATTGAGGTGGTTGTAATCATTACCATGATTGTTTGCTTCAACCATTTTCACAAACAAATAGAGTTGTTGCGCTCGAAAATTCGTTTAAATCGCTCATTTGAACCATCGGGTTATTAGACGTTTACGTACATAATTTACTCTTTATTATTTATATATTTTGAATGAGTTAGGAAAAATAATGTATAGCATCATCACATAATATAGGGAGAAAACGGTTACTCGTCTTTTCTCTTTTCCAGGTACAAGAAAAGGGCAGAACTTTCTGACCATTAGGTAGTTACTTTCCGCTTACCTTCTACGACTATCAACTTACAATTAAGGCACTAACCGCATCAGCAAAATGTAAAGAACAGAACATTTAGTCTTCGTGAACAATCCTCCTACATGAATCAAGAAAATAGTTTTAGTACAGTTTCACTTTTACATTCCGGACATTTGGAAGTTATCGCTAATCCTTCAAAGAAAGTGTCATTTGTGTCTAGGCGTATATCCTGTATTACTTATGTGTGTTATTGTGTGTTGAAATATTATATGTTTATATACTTCTAGCGATGCGCCCCGGCTTCGCACGGATGCAATGCTGATACTAAATTCAAAGCGCTATATATTAGAGTATAGGGAGAACCGCGATCTCCGACGCGCTGCGTCCCGCAATTTTTAAATTTGTAATATCTTCGAAAATATTCATTAAAATAATATGCTGTAAAGGGCCATATAGATCTATATTAAATCAACAATGTATTTAATGTATTTAATTGGATAAGGATTAATGCTATTTTGATTAAAATTAGCCATTATTTGTCGTAAATAGTAAATGCCAAAAAAAATTATTAGTGGGATATCCATAAGAGATAGACATATTATATACCATCGCGGAGTTATCTGTAGACCTTTTCAATGTGTACAATACTTAGTACATTATTTTGATAAATCTCGTAGGGTTCATTCAGCCTGCGTTTGCAATGTAAGCGGAAAAAATGTAATTATTTACGATTTACGACATCACATTAGAAACCTCAAAAATAACAGTATTTCTCCATCCATATTTAATGGATGTTATTATACATCTTTTCAATCACTCTATCTATTAAAAAAAACCGCATCAAAATCCGTTGGGTAGTTTTAAAGATTTAAGCATACATAGGGACAGAGAAAGCGACTTTGTTTTATACTATGTAGTGATAATAAGAATATTTCCTAAATTGTTTCAAAGCATAATTTTTTTACTAATACATGTATCAAGTACAGAGGTACTTTAATTTTATTATATTTGCAAATATTTTGAATATGTGATAACAATAAATGCTGTTTACTCTACAGCAATTCCCTTGTCGGTCATATGCCTGGGCTCCTTAGGCAGAATGCCTGGTGCGACCTCTAAGGGCGGGCTCTAAGTGACATGAGGGAGCCAATTGGCTATTTTTAATAGTTAGTCGTGCATTTTCGAAGTCGGTTAATAAAAAATATTAAGTAATATAGCAAAAAAATCGCTTTGTTACCGATTTCACTGGATTGCGTTAATCTCTCAACATAGATAATTATAAATCTGTATACGTTAAAGATGTGGAGCGCTAATTATTCGTATAAAACCTCATTTCGTGTATCACGTCACTGTATAATTACTTGCGTATTAAATCCCAAGTGCTATATGTGCTTAATTAAATTTTAAGCTTAATTTTACACAGCGGTCTCTCTTTCACCTCAATGTCATATAGGAGTTTATACAAGCAACATATTACTTAATAATATATATTTTATTTAAGGCAATTTAGGCGTATACAATATACAAAACAAAGTCCCATTCATACATTCAGTAGTGCTAATAGTAGTAGAAATAATCTATTTATATGTGAGTGTTTTTTTAGATACTTCACTGAATGTCTGAATTGCACAGTTATAAGAAACATTCGTTGGCATATCGGTTGAGAATTGCATTCTTGATCACTAAGTTCAAACTTAAAAAAAAACATCCGCGAAGGTTGATCAACCAGTTAAACACCAAAAGAGCAATTATGAATTTAGCAGATTATATTTGTCTTATAAATCAACTTCCTTATAGCGCTAAGATTCAATTAAAACTATTCCATTTCAGCAAATTAAGGGATTTCCGTCTCGATGCGAGCTTTCCCAAAGGGTTTAGCTAGTTTAGAACTTCGTGTTTGTATTGAAGCAAAGTTGTCATAAATATCAGAAGCCTTCGCCTGTCTAACTCGAACGAACTACATCAAACTGTTTTGTTGACGCTAAAGTTACACTACACAATATCCTGCCAGTCACGAAATGAGCGATTATGGACTCCCGTACTCAATTGAGTAGTTTAATGTGTGAACTTGTTGATTTTTAGTTTGTGTACTTACACATATTTACGTTGACAATATTTATCACATACACCCACATACACCCATACAACTCTATTTCTGTTGGAATCTAGTTAACTGTTTTGATTCGTTTCTTTTTCTTTTTTTAGAAACTATAAATATTTTTGCCTACTCATATATGTACTTTTTTTGTTATGACTCAGTATGACTTTGCTGTGGAATGGAAGCCTAGTTATCCATATCACAGGTTCTCACCTAGCTTGGAAACCGGTTTCCCAATACCTTCTTAATTGTAATCGTACTGTTTGTTTCAAATGTTATATGGGAGAAAATAAAGAATTATTATCATATAGTATAAGATTTAAACTAAAGAAATATTGAAGTTAGTATCTTAAATTATACCTTTTTCTGTTCAAAGACTTTTACTAAGCATTTATTTGACTATCTTTAGACCTTTGTTAAACGTGAAATTAACAATAACAGACTTCTTTTAACAGATTGTTTTAATACTATTTAAGCCTTGTGGTATTGCAAATTTATAAATAGTAATAGTAGTAATTCTGCAATTTGTCTTAATGTTCATTCTATTGCATAAACCGGATATTCACATGCATTATTTTTTACCATTAAAGCAGATCTTTAAATAGACTCAACTAGAAAATTCTCAATTGCCCCAAGCAATGAGAAGTGTTTTTCTATCAAGTAAGAAATCCAATAAGAACCGTGATTAGTGTCCGTCCTTTCGCGACACGACCACTCCTCTAAGTTTTTCCAACATTTACAATTGATTTGATTTACTACATGACGTCAGTGAAATTTTTTGGAATTACTTGAAGTTATTTACCATTTTGGAATTCAGCACATTCATTACATACATAGAACGGTATATATTACGTTATACGATATAAAATCGAATCAAAAATCACAAAGAATGCATTAAGCATTTTCTGTAATCTTTAAAACGTGACTTTTGGTGAGAAAAGACACCCGCGACCTATCGAATTTTATGAACGAATAGGATTTTGCGCGAGAAAAATTGCAAATTTTTGCAGCGACCTCGTTTGAACACATTATACCGTAAAGCAAAGTGGAGATAAATTCGATTGTCGATAGTATTTCCCATCACAGTGGAGATAAATTCGATTGTCGATAGTATTTCCCATCACCTGCTAGGGGTGTGATCGACAATTTATTGGAATGTAGAGAGTTCTATTTCGGAGGCATTCTCATGGGTATACTTTGTAAAAACATTTATTGCAGTGTCCAATACTTTCGGTCAATTTAAATTTCTTTTTATTTACAAAGGGTTATTTCGTCGACTGTATAAAGTATATTCTTATTGAGAACCAAATTAAATTGAAGGAATTTAACTCGCACGGAGGTTAATCGTGTATTTTTAAGTGCTGTAATGCTTTTATACTGACTCCGATGGTTCTGCGACCCAAAATCTATCCTGGCGTCCAAAACGAGAGACTTCCACCGCTTCCTGTCGCACTATTCTCCACTTGCTGGCTTTCAGTTGTAGTAGGTCCTCCTCCATTCTGTTGAATCATTGTAATTGTCAATTACATTTTTATAATTATTTATAAAGTATACTTTACACAAAAGTTATTACCTGTAAATGTTTTAGTGACGATGTACTTGAACGGTTAATAAAATGTCATAAAGAAACATCCGTAAGAAGCTTATTATTATAATAATAATTAATAATAATCAATGGCGCTACAACCTTTTTAGGTCTGGGCCTCAGATTTCTGTATCTGTTTCATGATCATTTGGTAATCTAATAGGCCTTCTGTGCCTGACGCACGCCGTTGACTTTTTGGGTCTAAGGCAAGCCGGTTTCCACACCGTTCGAGCGAATGTTAAATGCGCACATAGAAATAAAGTCCATTGGTGCACAGCCGGGGATCGAACCTACGACCTCAGGGATGAGAGTCGCACGCTAAAGCCACTAGGCCTATACTGCTCAAGGGGCTTATTATAAAAGTAATTAACTAAAACTGTATAAGTGTGACTATTAAAACGTTAGATAAACCTAAAGGAACTATGGTTGATTAGACTTTACTATACTTGAATTGAGATTAAAAATCGAATCGAAATATTCACGTCATTTGTAGGTAGGTATGATACTGCTTGATTTAAGTGTGGTTCTAATAAACTTATTACTTCTTAGTTGTGTAGGAGCTGAGAGTGGCGTAAAAGCATAAAATAAATACCGTTAAAGTACATTAGAAATGGTTTCTGCGGAGGCGAATAAATGTGGCCAATTTGTGAGACCGTTTATCACCTAAAGAAAAGTTTCAGCGCTTGAAACTGCGATAATTTCAAAGCGAAATTCAAGGGTTAATCGCCTTATCCGCATTTTAGGAAAACTATAATTTAGGTTCATAGAAGTACTTAAGTACTTACCTGTCAACAGAAACAACGTAATTCACCATTTTATATAAATTGGTGGTCAATTTAAGCTGTTTGTAAAAGATTTTGTTCTCAATTTGGTACATAACAATGACAAAAACGGGAATTCCAAAAACAAAATTTAACGATGGTTAATCAACGCGTTCATTCAATGCCTAGCAGAAATTGGAATATTCGATTCATCTGTCAGTCAATCGAGACTACGGACAATCCATACTACGGAATAGCGATATTTTTCTAAATGTAAGTGCATGCAGCTTTATTCAAAGTCATTAAAAGCATTTTTTTTAGTATCACGGTGAGTTTAAGAATTGTTTATTGTAATTAAGCCCTTATGACATTAACAGTGATTATAGGATACATTTAGTATACGTATAGAATGCGGAATTTGCATTTGGTTGGCTTGGTACTTTCTCACAGACGCTCATAAAACAGAAATGCAGGGCCTTTATCGATTTTGAGATGTAAGTCACAACTCAACTTTTTATCTAGGCCGCCGCGTAATACGCCTCAGTGCACACATTCATTCACACGCCGCGTTCAAAGAGATTTGTCAAAGGGTACATTAAAACACAGGCTTCGCAAAAGACGTGAAAGAAATAGTACTGTATTTTCTAAGGTGACAACATCATTAAAATTTTCTAAGTTTAATATTTATTTTTGGTTAACACTATCAATATGCTTATAAGCAAGTTACTGATTTAAAAAACCAGTGGCGCTACAACCTTTTAGGTCTGGGCCTCAGATTTGTATCTGATTCGAGATCATTTTTTTATTAAAAAAGTAGGTCATCAGCCTTCTGTGACTGACAGGCCGTCGACTTTTTGGGTCTAGGCATGCCGGTTTTCACGATATTTTCGTTTATCGTGAGAGCGAGTGTTAAATGCGCAGATAGACAGAAGTTCCATTGGTGCACAGTCGGTTTAAACCTCCTACCTCACGGATGATGATGGTCGCACGCTGAAGCCACTAGTAATTCATAAGATAAGTTTAAAAAGGTGGCAAGGCTCAAGGAAGACCCAAACATATAGAGATGTGTTGCCATTACTGTGACGAGTAAATCCACAGTACCTGTCACAAAACATTGCACTGCCCCTCAGTGCGATTCTCGAGCCTGTGTTGTCAGCGTCGAACTCCATGAAGGAGTTTGTTGTTAAAGTGTCTAGTTGTGAGCCTGTACTAGACTGCACCTCATTCATATTTCTTTTAAATAAAACTTCTTTAATGGATATAAATGTGAATGAAATTATATTATTTACATAACTTGACGTTTCGAGTGCTATATTCGCTTTCATGCAATAAATTCGCATTTTAACACGTTTTTAAATTAAATTTAAAACTTGTCTAAAGCAAAGACAATATTAGTTCTATTTTTGAATTTAAAGTTAAAGAAGCCCAGCTATGCGACCTTTTTATAAAAACTATTTACAGTATAAAAATTTCAAACCTTTGATATGTGAATTTAACTAATTATGTTAATTACAAAGTGTGGCAGCTCGTTGCTGCACACGTTTTGTTACTTATTATATATTATATCTAAATTCTATGCACAATTTGACACCATGGAACCACTGGCACTTAGTATAAATAGGGCTGGTAAATATTAATAATTTAAAGTGTAGTTGCTATAAAATAAAGCATAAAATAATGTTACATGAATAACATAGTTGATTGTACTTCGCCAACGCTGACGTTGCTCATCTAGTGAGCTAGAAAGTTTATAAAACTTCTTGCTTAAAATCAATTCAGTCTGAAAGAAGCTCATGCTCATGAAAAGTCACGTATTACGGACTTAACACTTTGTAAAACAATAAGCTGTATATTTTACAACAAGATTAGAAAATAAAAAACTTCACAAGACGAGTTTTGCACGGAAAAACGAAAGACTGTTGATATTAATGTTGGGATAAAGAGTTTATAACATGAAAGTGGTTTCTAAGAAACATACCCACATTGGCTCTGTGGATTATTTTGACAGGGTCAGTATCCGGAAATATTTGGTTGGTAGGCAGTGTATAAGGTCTATAGCAAAGAAACAAACAAAATTTTGTCTGATGCCATAATGCGACCTTAAAAAGCCGGGGTGAAATTTTTGGCGTAAAATAATTTTAAATATTTTTACACATTTCGTGGTGACGAATTGCGTTGCATGGTCGTTAGCGATCGCTGTTCATCTCTGTCGATATATATTTAAGCAATAAATCATCGACATGATTTCACACCCTTTTGCGAAAAACTCCGTCAAATCCATAATGGATGAATGTAGCTCGTTAGTTACTGGTTTAATTAATGTACTAATTATTTTTTAACACTGCTTTTTATATTCTTAAACATACAATATTTTCTTATCTAATCAAATATTATGTGAAAAATCTTGTTGAAGCGTTACGAAAACATTATTTGGATTAATCTGCATCTGTCGTCAAGGTACGTCACTTTGAAAACTGCCAAATTAGGTATTTCCGAAACAACTTAGGAGCTTCTAACGCCCGAACCCAATAACCTATCTCAATCTATAATCCACCATCTAAGATAGTATTCTTAATCCAATTGTTCTAACAAGTGTGCCAATAACCAACCGACGGATCGTAATAACCATCTGTCGATACAAGCTATCCATGGGAGGTCGTATAGGTGTCTGTGTATAGACCTTTGTATGAAAATGACAGATGAAGAAAGCTCGATTTCAACAGTTAATTATTTTACCAGATTTTAACTTACACCAGTTTTTTTTACAATTAAAAACTTTTTGTTATGTTTTAAGCATACACATATTTTAATGTTATTTGTACGGTTTTATTTACTTTATTTGGTTTACATTGATTATCAAATATGAGTGAAAACTCGGTAAAATGGAACGACAAGGAGCTTTTTCCTGTCGCCAAAAATGGATTGTTTTCGTAGGGTTTGGTTATTGGGTTGCAGATAGAAGATCGATCGACTGTCACGGTCTGTTTTCAATCTGAGATTCTGGATTGATTATTGGGTTCGGGCGTAAGAGAAGATCATATCCTTAAAGGCCGCAACCCAATTGTAAGCCTTCCGGCGTTGTGTCCATGGGTTATTCCTGTAAATAGTTGATGTGAGTTATAAAAATGTTTATAAAATATACTTCTATATTATGACTAGTTTTACTAGCTAGACTATTTTTAATCCTAAGCAGAGGTTGTGAGGCTTATGAAACATGTCTATTTTAGAAAGACCTATTTAATCCCCTAACCTACTCAATAACCTGGTTAATGTTGAAGCTGAAATATTAAATTTTCATTAGCATTATTAATTAATAATTAGTTTATGCTTAGTTAATGTTAACATGAAAATGTAGGTTTAATTACTCGCAGTCACATTTTGCAAATACAGTGAGCCCGTGCAGTATTAAATTTCAGCAGGAAACAATTTGCTTTATTTGGTTAGGGAACAATGATTTTGACAATGCAACCACACGATGTATTGCTGTAAATTTAAATTAGAAAAACTCAAGCGATCAAATTTTGAATGAAAAATTATCAGTAAAATTGAAGCACTATCTAGGAAGAGTGGTCAGGAGCGTACTTATATGATATTAAATAACCACTAATGTCATAAATTACTCTCAATAGTAGTAGATTACCAGGCCCTATTCTAAAGGTTGTAGTTTTAATAAAGAACTTTCCGTTCTTATATTATTTATATCGTTTCACAATTGCACAAGTTTCTTCTAATTTTTGATTCAATCTACATATTTTTAAAAGTGATTCTGGTGTTTTCTTTATCGTACATACAAAATCCTTAAATGTTTTAAAATTTAGCACCTTTCATAACTACATTTCTTAATTTTGTTTTTTGTTATTTAAAACCTTAAATCTTATTCGATTTATAATACCTCGAAATCATTACTAACATAACATGTGTGTGTGTATAGTGTTATTGACACACTCCTAAAAAAATGTTGTCTGCTATTTTTAGGTCATATAGCTACAAAGCATGAAGCAAAATAACAGGTATGAAAATTATGACATCGTACACGTGTTGTACGAGAGATAAATCACGTGACACTCAGGACGATGATGGATAGTGTAGGCACTGCACGTACTTGCTTTTAATAAGATTTAGATGAAATAATATTACCCTTCTACAATTTCACATGTAAGTATACATCTTCTGTTAATTTTTTGGCCAAGCGTCTGGAACTACCATAACGAAACAAATATTTGCGTCAACAGAATTGAGATACAATATATACTATATGTAACGAGATTAGTTCAAGTTCCAAATTATAAGTTTAAGAGTTATGCGCTCTATTTAAAAGTATACATAGTTACAAACACAAAAGTTCATATTTACAGGATTTAAGGTTGTTAAATTGAAAAAATGTATAAAATTAGTTTAAAAATGCTGAACTAGACTGACTATCGGTGCAAATATCGTAATTTGGATAAAACTTAAAGCGTGAATTATAACTAAGATTGAACGTTAAATATATACCCGCCAACTCCATGGTATTCTTACTGAATTCGATCTTAAATAATCTATTGTCAAAGTTTAAAAACTTATTACTTAGGATTATGGTTGCTGTGCGCATGACTTGGCCCAAACGGAACGAACAAGGGCATTCAGTGTAGTAACGTGATGCGCGTAGCTCGTCCTTCGTGAACCATTCCGTAGCAGAATTCGGCCGTTTACGGATACTTGTAAACAACTCTTGTAGACTATATTAAATTGTAATAAAATAAAAACAAATTAATATAACTGTAGTGGTTATTTGCAATATAGATATGGATTTTTTAAAGTGCTGTGTCGTCCAAAATAAAGTGTAAAATATTGCTTAGTATGTAGTGACAGTGATAGCAAGGATGAAGGTTTTCATTCTATTAGCAGTGTGTGGTAAGTCGTTAAATTAATTTTAAATTTAATTCCAATGACCTTAATGAATTATTAAGCTAATGCTTATTTCTAATGCTTTCATATGTAATATATATGTATAATGTATATAAATAGGTATTGTGTTTAAGATAGTATGTAAAAACTAAATAAAATTAATAATTATATTTTAGTCTAATATTTAACAGGGTCTTAATATTATTTTTAATTGGCTTTGAAACTCCGATCAGATTTTCTCTGGATTCAGGATTCAGTCTCACAATTTTAAATCGCATATGACAGATAATATTTAAAAATTTAATGTCATTACTATCATTGAAATAAAGTATTTTTTCGAATGGATTTGAACTGGGGCTCGAACTTAGGCCGTATCGTGAATGTCATTTGTAAACTGATTTTGAGAGAGAGATTGAAGAGAGTTTTTTTTACAGCATAAATACTATAATTAATTCCTTGGATTTTCATTATTTAACATTTTTAAAACCTCATTCGAAAATACCTTCAACGGATTAAAACTCAAATGTTTGACATTTGTTCGACAATTTGTTTCGCTGACCTAGTGGTTAACAAAAACGTTAAAAAATAAAGTAATATATTAGGGTTTGAATCAATATATATACTTTACGTTTTTAGATACGTTTATTTAATTGCTGTACTTCAAACTAAAATGTGTTACGCTTAAAAATTTAATGGACTACTTTTAACCATATTTTTGCATACTATAATATTTTTCTTTCTTTGCCTTAATTAATCTTCCTCCAAAACAAAAGGTATAATTTTCAGAGTGTATAAGAAAATGTGTAAGAAATTCACGTTCACATTAAATACAGAAAGGAATGCAATTAAGTGCGCCCTAGTTTCATGTTTATAGAATATATTGCAGACTCCATGCATTTTCATTAGAATTTTTATTCCTCATAATCCTTCAACAAAACAAGTCAAATTTGTCGCCTAAGCGTTGTTGCTACATTAAGTAATTTGGCATTTTTAAATAACCTTGTGACTATTTATATGAAATTTCTAATAACCAAGTTCAAATGTATGTATTAATAAAACGAAAAAATATCAAAACATTCTTCACAAAATCTAGAAGCTTAGGATATTGTGATATGTCGAATAGGATAATACTGTTATGTTTTTGAACTCTCGAATGACTGTAGAAAAATAATTCTGACAGCATCAATTATATTATATTAAATTAGAACTTTAAATTTAAAATAAATTGTCAGTGAACGTTTAGGAAGAAAGGTTAACTAAAATCCTTATTACTAACATTAATACAAATTTATAAAAGACAAAGGAATACAATCTTTAGATATATGACTATTATTTTACAGCTTCTGTAATTGTTATTGCTACTCCCTTAAGCAGCATAAACGGAGATCTCAACAACTAGTTACTTTTAATGATCAGTCATATGTAACTTACAATTTGTATATGGATTTTCTATTTCATAAACCTAACAATTAATATATTAATTTATTTAATAACATAGGAATGTTAATTATTTTCCAAATTTTCGGAACAGTAGTTGAATTGCCATAAAATTTTGTTTGGATTCAGAGAACAGATGGCTTTCATCATCTGTGATGTCATCATCGCCTGTGTGTCAGCTGTGATGGGTGGGTGAGTCAAACTGAGACAGCAAATAAAGGAATAAGTATATAATACTAAGATATCGTTCATGTATAACTGGGGGATTATATTAAAATTGAAGAAAAGAAACTTTAAAGCTGTAGCTGCCAGTAATAAAGTGTTTAGATTGGCTTCGATCATAGGATTAACTGTTAATTCCATTGAACCGTAAGAAATAGGAAACCGCAGCGATCGTCACAATCGTCGGTGGCTTGGCTCGCGGCCAGTTCTCGATTGTGTTATACCGATTCGACGATTGTCTATGATATTTTGTTCTGATAAGTAGAAATTAAATATGAAACACCTTTAAAGGAACTTCACCCAATAAGTTGCTCTAGGATATGGCTCGGATTGATTTGAAAGGCGTAGTACCCAGTCTAGTTACGGGAAATGATAAGTACGTCCCTTTGAATGAATAACAAGTAATTTAATTCTTTTTAGACTGCTGTAAAGCACTCATTCTCGTTTATAAAATTTTCACTAACTTTGTATAAATGCAATAGGATAATCTTATATGAATTATCTATTCACTTTAATAATACTTATTCAACCAAATTGCTTGTTCGGATTATTGATAATTTGATCCAACGAACCAGCACTGAAGATTTTAAATTAAAAACGATGAGATTAGACTCTTTAAGATGCTGTTCGAAGGGCAATAGCGGTCGAGAGCTTTACCTGAGTGAATTTGAAGAGTGCTCAAGAACTTTATCTTATACATATTTAGCACTTACTATATATATATATATATATATACATATACACATACTACTTACTTGGTTTGAAATATTTTTATGAAGGTGCAGTAGTTGCTATCCTGATTCCGTTTGTCGCTGATTCCTACGGCGTAGTGAAGTTTCACGATTGATATATTAAGGCGAAAGAATGATTATTCTTCTTGGTTTAAAGAATGACCATCGATACACAAAAAATGCAAGGGTTATGGATACTAGACCAATTATAAACGATGAGGAATTGAATCTGGATGATACAACTGTATTCTCGGAATCACCATGGATTCAAAACTTCAGTGGTCCCCTCATATTAACGGATTGGCGATGAGACTTAGTTCTGCAGCCTACGCGGTTAAGAAATTCGCTCACTAACTGATGTCGATACAGCTAGACTTGTCTATTTTAGTTACTTTCATAGCTTAATGACTTATGGCTTATTATTATGGGGTCATGCTGCTGATGTCGAAACTATTTTCATCCTGCAGAAGAGGGCTATTCGTGCAATCTATAATTTAAAATGTAGGGAATCTCTTAGACCTTTCCCTCGCAATATATTTATGAAAATATTATGTATGTATACAAAAATAGTGATAAGTTCACTAGAATAGAACATACGCACAATGTTAATACACGGAACAAACGCAGGCTGCAATTTCCCCGTACTAGACTATCTGAAGTTAGTAATTCTTTTTTGGGGAAAGGGATACTCTTCTTTAATAAAATCCCAGAGGCTCTTTTATCTCTGCCTTTCAATAAATTTAAGAAATGTATTAAAGAAAAGCTGTGTAAAAAGGCTTACTATAAAGTCAACGATTATCTAGTTGATAAAAGGGCCTGGGACTAGTGCTAGACAGGCTACTTCTAATTAATTTGCGATATTTGTTTTAAATAAGTGTTGTTTGATGATTTGCTGTTTTAAAAGAGTACCGAGAGTTTTTTACGCCGGCTTTTTCTCTCGGCCTACACCCTCTGTCTTCTTTGCCGATGAGTAGGGATGCCTAAAAGTTCAAATTTAAGATACATGTGTTAATAATAGTAATAGTACACAGTATCTAATTAATCCTGGACGAACCAATTTTCCCGAAAATAACATTTTTTATTCAGGACATCCTATTTTCGACTCCCTTTAAGGAAAGATTTACCTCTCATTTACATAAACTGATATCAATCCTATTTTCTGTGCCATTGGATATTCTGGAACACATTGTTTGTGAATATAAAAGAAAAAAATGGAAAATATCGCTGGCCCTCTGCCAGATGCGACGCGGCGTGAAGACAAGACAAGGAAGTTGTATTACACCTACCTTGATACCAAATTGGTTATTATATCTTCTAATTAGGTAATTATTTAAAGCATGTAATACAAGAAAAGTTATTGAGATACTCATCTACTTGCCATACAAATTATACGGAAGCAGACATAAATTTGATTACAAACAGTGAAGTAAGACTTTATTGTAAAGCGCCTAAATTCGTTAATATCGGAGACAAAAGATTAATAAATTTTTCAGCCACAGAACAAGATTGATATACATTGGAAACCAGGAAATGAACACCCCATTACATTGTTAGCTAGATTAATAAAATTGTACGAAACTGTAAAATTAATGTTGGTGTCGTGTTTTGTTGAAACGCGAGTTACAAGTCGTAACTTTACGACTTGAATTATTATGTCTACCTTATCATTCCGTCATGTTGATCTAACTCTTGTTCTTAAATAAAATTTTAACATTAATTGTATTGTATACAATTGAAAATTATGTACATATTGCGATTCTTCCTATTTTTTGTGATGTCTCTGTTTAGTAGATTTCTTAAATTTCTCAAATTAATTACTTTTAAGGTTTTAGGCGTTCAGCCTTTTTACGCCGACCCACACGTATCTAATGATTTACTTGCAATGGAACGTCACATCATTTTGACAATTTATAGCTACACTAAACTATAAAAGTAGTTTTAATTGACAATTTAATATCTTAACAATATATAATTAAACAGTGACTTGCAGTTGTTACCAAAAAGTATTAAATAAGATGGAATTTTTATTTTATTGGATCGAATAAGGCTTGTTTTATGTATTAATTATTTAAAACTTATTAATTAAAACATAGGGTTTGTTCAGTCTTAGAAAATAATTAGCCACTTCTTGTAATGCAGATAGCTACCGTTTAATTTAATTATTCAGCCCTAGATTACCTTTATTATAACTGCCTAGTCGATGGATGGACTACTCCTGCAGATTGAGGTCAAACACTGCATAGAAATCGTCTGTTTAGATGTATTAATATTCTATCACGTTATCTTCATTTATTATTAAAGGTTAAGTGTTTTTAATATTTAAAACGCATCGAGCTTTTCTAAAGATGGTTAAAAATACACAAATTTTTGTTAAATGATTCTGGAACTACACGATAAAAAGGAAAAACCTTGTTACCATTTGGTATGGATCTACAGTAAGACTCATTTCTGTGTCATAATCAGCATGACGGCAGTACTATTCCACCGGAGATCAAACCCATACTTCTACTACTTCAAAATCACAATTTCTATATAATATCAGTATTATTTAATGTTCTGAATTCATAAAAGGGTATAAGTGAAATTTCATTATGTTTAATGTTCCCTTAAGTGAGCCGTAAGGTGATAGTGGCCTTTAGTGAACCTTTTTGTCTGAATTTGAAGAGGGGTTCTTTGATAACAACTATGAATTGTTTTCCGTTACTAACATTTCATGATTCTGTATTTTTTTTTCATGTTTTGCGTAACGGCTTAAATGTATATAAGTATACTACTGGACCGACAGACGTTGACCTGAATATTATACGTACAACACGTTTTTAAGACAAGAATTTCAAACATTTTAAATAATAAAAAAAACATCTTGTTATAAATCTATACCATTCTAGAATACACATATAATTATTATCAAAATTGGTCCAGCTGTTTAGGAAAAGTTTAATTACAAACACACTAAAGAACTGCATTTATTATTTAAATCCATTCTCTCAAATGTATGAATTCATGTATATTCAGATCTACCTCTGATAACAAATACCACAGAATTAATTACTTGAAGGAAATTACGAAGGGTGTTAAAAATAAACTTTCCATAAAAGACTATTGAACGTAATAGGTAATTTGTAAATTCCGGAAGTAATTTTCGATAGGGACGGTCAATTCCACGACAGTCCAATGACTCCCACACCCAAATTATATACTTAGGAGCGAATGGGCTCAACTAAATCATTCAATTGTTTCTTACATATTGAAATAAGTTATAGATATATCTAGATGATAGATTCCCAATGCCTCGTAAAAAAATATGAATGACGTAACTTTAACGTTTAACTGTGGTAGTTGAAAAAAGTCTTTAATTGTTTACTAATAGTTATGCAAAAAATTTTACAAACAAAATTCTTGTTCTAGTACACTGTCTACATACATTTTTAATTATTGAGGACATTTGACCATTTGACAGACCGAGGGTTGCCTTGCACGTCATATTGATTAACATTTGGTATTGGATATTATGTCTAATTCGGGTTATATTATCTGAAATTAGTATTATATAATTTATAAGAGAAATTTTGTTTGATTGGCTTATTTAAAAATCAATTAAAGGAGGCTTATTTTTATTAGTTGTTTTATGAATTCTAATTAATAGGATTACCCATTAATCCTTCTGGCGCCCACTTTGATTATTTTACCTAATCACTGTTGATATAAGAGTACATTTATTCTAAAAAAAGTTTAAACAATACAAATAACCTTAGTGTGAAGGCAAATCACGGTTTTGTCACTAACCACACACTTTTCTATACTTACTATCATAATTTATGTTTAATATTATTATTGAATAATACGTAAGTAAAAGGGATATGGGTACTATTAATATAATAAAAAAAAATAAAGCAGTGTCGCTACAACCTCTTTAGGACCTGGCCTCAGATTTCTGTATCTCTTTCTTGTCAATTAGGTGACCAGCTTCCTGTGCCTGACACACACCTTCGACTTTTTGGGTCTAAGGCAAGCTGGTTTCCTCACGATGTTTTCTTTCACCGTTCGAGAGAATGTTAAATGCGCATAGACAGCATGTTCATTGGAGCCGGGGTCTAACCTACGACCTCAAGGGTGAGAGTCGCACGCTAAAGCCACTAGGCCTACACCGCTTACTACTAATCTAATAGATTTAATAAATAATAACATGAATTTTAACGTTATAAATAATAAATATCCATAAAACCAGTTTCATATTTTTGTATTCGATTATGGTTGAAACATCGTAAGGATGTAATCTAATAATGAGCTATATAGCGGAATGAATCGTGATATGTGAAAATTCATAAAATATACTTGAAACCGTTTTATAATATCATTGTTTAGTAATTAGTTTGGTACTTATGTGTTATTAAGTAAATTTTATACAGTAGGTACCTACATACATAATATCTTTCGGAGCTAGTAACCATGTTGAGGTTTTATATAATAACTAGTAGACTCGGCCAAGCGTTGCTCTGGCTAAGATTTTTGTTATATTACATAGTAGTAAACTATTCAAGGGAAACGGTAGGAGAACTTATGTGAAAGGTAGATGACAGCTTATGTGAAACGTTGATAATTTTAACACAGCGCCATCTGTTAGAATTGTATCAAATAATAAACAAATATTTTGCAATAAATTAAAATTGCGACTATAATTTGAGATTTAAACTATCCTATCTCTCAAGTTGGATCGAACTGCACATGGTGTGCAAATTTGATTGATATCGGTTCGGTAGTTTAGGAGTCCATTGAGGACAAACATTGTGACACGAGATTTATATATATTAGGATTATAGTTTGGTAAATTTTAAGCATATTTTATTGTCATAAAACATTAATTAACCATTTATAAATGAACAATAAGCCTAAATAATATATAAAAAATGTTGTTATTACTCAAGGTCTTCAATTCACCTTTTCATTAATTATTTGAATTATGATTGCACATCATTTCCATAGCTTTACCTGCTTTAAAACTACGCCATATTTGTTTACTTTTTAAATCAATTCAGAATGTATGGACAGTATCTGTTAACATTATATTTTGAATGTTGAATTTTAATTTAATTTTTATAACCCTTAATAATTTCAATTATAAATTTTATTTGTTATTTTATCATATCAGGTAAATTGTTTTTGGTAGGAACACCTTTTTACGTGTATTACTAAATAGCTATCGTCAATATCTTACGTATCTATATAAATGCCAGCAACGCACTTGCGAGCTCTCTGGCATTATTGAGTGTCCATGGGTGGTATCACTTAAGATCAGATGAGTCTCCTGCCCACTGTTCTATAAAAAAAAAGTGTTGTCCCTGCTTCTTCTTTCTGCTGTCTTTGACAGATAAATCACCTACTCACCTTTATGTTTATTGAAACAAATTCAGATATGGTATACACCTTGCAATGAAGCGAGGTTTAAATAAACATAGTAATACACTTTTGTTTTTTTAATTAATTAAATAATGGTATATGTAATTGCTTTAACTAATTATTATAGGTTTAATTAAAATTGTCAAGCAATAAATATTGTGTAACAAAACGGTGAACTGTTGTTATAATTTAATTAACATTGCCTAGAGTTTGTTGGTATTTTATTAATGTATCATTAACCCGACCGCGGGATCATGCTGTAATTAGCTAAATGTGTACAAGGTTTGAATAATAATTATTTTATATTCATGTATTCAGAAGTAGATAGTTTTTGTACGGTTTTTTAATTTCTTTTACATAGTTGGACAAAAGGCTGTTATGAATGTTCTAAATGCATAGAAAATTTACTTTTGAAGATAAATAAGGGTCTCAACTTCGATTTTGAACAATAACGAGTTAGCTCGCACTCTTCTGCGTCAGTTTATTATTATAATTTTTTGATCGATAAATCAGTAGGGAACAACTATTTGATATATGTTAAGGATACTCAGGAAACTATAGAAGTAAGGTCTTTTAAGGACTGTAGTTTTGACCATCCAAAAACCACATGTAGACCATTTTAAGTCAAGATAGTTTTACTTGTGTATTCTTTTCAGCGTTGAGCTCAGCGTACAAGATCACACAGTTGAAAGTGCCGCTTTACGCAGACCCGCGTCGGGCTGCGGAACTCAGCTGTCACTTCCAAATGGATGACCAGAAGCTGCATTCCGTCAAGTGGTACAGAGATATGCACGAGATCTTCCGGTATAACCCCTCGCAAAAGGCAAGTAGATATTAATATAGTAAAAACGAAACTACATACAGCTATTATTTTTGCTGTTGCTAGAACATCCAATCGAGTTTGTAACGTTACGAATTATAAACATTGCATATAGTTTCCGGTCTGGTTATTTTCTTTTTATATTTGGAAAACGAGCCTACGGGACGCCCAAAAAGGGCAGTCATCGCAGCTCATGGACACCCGTTTTTATTGGGTGCGTTGCCGGCCTTTGAGGGAGGAGTACACTCTAACTTTGAATAGTTGGACGTCGTATCTCTCAGGGAAGACCCACCGGGAGTCGATTCCACAGTTCGCTAGTTCGCAAAAGAAAGTGCCTTGTGAAACGGCCTATTGAAGACTTCCAGGACAAGGTGATGTTGATGAAATTTTGAATTGATACGGCTCGTTGAACAACGTACGTTGAAACGAGGCAGAAGGGATAGACCCAAATAATTACAAAGACAACACTTCTAGTAATTTCTGATGACATATTCTGCCATGGCGCTTATAAATTAATTTTTATAAGTGCGATATAATAATTTTTAATTTATAGCAACTATGTAGACTGTAGAGCATACATTTTGGCAATGCCTGTGGGTCAATAAAATGATTTTGTGCTACTTAACAATATATTGATATGTATTACATACAGCCATCAATCCGATTATTCAATGTGACCGGCATTATGGTGCAAGGCGGCGAGTGCCAGGCAGAGTGGTGCCTGGTGCGTGTGATGCCTCCGCCTGTGGCCGCTAGAGCAGCTTACAGCTGTGAGATATCTACGGAAGGGCCTAAGTTCCAGATAGCGCGTCAAACCAAACATATGACTGTTGTCGGTTAGTTCCCTTTATTTTATGAGCAACTTCATAATTAAGAACTTTGAGAAATAAAGTATCTTTCAATCGAATTATATTTCTTCTGTTGACACAAATTATAAGTTTCTCTAATATTAGGGTTTTGGGTTCTTAGGATATTGTTAACGAAACTCGTCTTTTGCTGATAGTAAAATTACAGATTTTATAGTCTAGAGAGTTGCATTAGTATCGTATTCTTGTATGTTATTAGTCAGTATTAATAAACTGGTAAATCCAAAAATTTCGTTACAGCGATGCCAGAGAGGGACCCAGTTATAATTGGTGCTCCAAAATTAGTGAAACCCGGAGAGCAAATATTGCTTAATTGTACCTCGGACTATTCTCTTCCGCCCGCTGATATCAACTGGTATATTGACAATGAGCTTCAAAAGGTATGCTATAGCAGTACAGACTTCAAATTAAAATATAGACTTAGCTTATGTTACTGATAGTTATTAATCTGTTCCAACTATCTGTTCGATATCTATTAATATGTAAAAATTAATTGCTTATCAATTCTCTCGCTAAAACTCGAGAACGTCTGGACGATTTGGCTAACTTTGATCTTGAAATTCATGGAATCTTTAAACAGGAGACATAAATAATAAGTAATGAAAAAATACTATGCTGGGAAATATTTGATGTCTTTAAAGAAATAAAGAATTGTCATTATGTTGTCACATATTTAAAGATGCCTTCAGAAATAGTATGAGGTCTGATCTGGTCGGTCTGTTTTAATAATGTTGTATTAAATTGTGACACAAATTGTAGGTCATACGAAGTTCACCAGGTCATCTAGTTTGTTTTGTATAAACATGTATGGCTTTAAAAATTTCATCAACCAATTATTTAAAAAACTATAATTTATTGTTTAGCAGGTTTTATAGTCTCACTTTATAGAGGAATGGAACAATGAATATAACGGGAAAAGTAGCTTTATTTAAAAACTTAAAACTATAAATTTAAAAAACATGTTTGTTTGTCTATAGCTACTTGAGTGATTTTATTAAAAAGCATGTACGGTATTGAGGCTATTTTGTCTACGTACTTTGATTGCACTAGTTATAAATTGGGTGCAAAATCACTTCACTTTAGAGCAAGGCATGCACTCAAGAGATGGCTTAGCTAGAACTAACAGTTTGCTCTCATGCTCCCTAATGGAATCAGGAAACCAATCTATTTGGATTAGGTACTAACTATTACGGTGATATGTCGTAACCCGTATTAATGCTAATCGAAATAAATGTATCATTCTTTCTTCATCAATGCGGGTCGTAGATCACTTAACAATACATTTTATATACTCGTAGCTATAGTGCATTCGTTAGTTTAAACAGCATACTTATTGTTAAGTGGGTTGAAGCGATCTTAATAATCTTTATTGTTATAAATTGTCTGCTATTATGTCACTAAGGAGTTGCCTTGGTCGTAGTATAGAACTTAGATATTGCGTATACAATACTAAAATCCTAAATTGTGCATATTGAAACTGTTTTTACGAACTATACATTTTTAATATAAATGATCTACCGATAAAAATTATAATTAAGTAAATATTGCTTGCAAGGTAAGCACGATCGCATCCTTGCTCGATAATGATGTGTAGCTGCTGCTATAACTCTCGTATTATTTTTTAATTAAAAACATGTCGACTAAATAAATGGCCGAGAAAAATGTATAGTCGCCTAGATTTATTACGAGCGATCGAGCGGCGACGGATCTATTTTCTTTGGAATAAAATAGAACCGTCCTTAGTATCTTATGCCGCTAGGAGGAAATAGATTACGGCATTTTTAAGTAATTCACAATATTTGTTTTACTTCATTCTTATTAAAGAATTTTAATTCACACAAATTAAAGTTATATGAAACGTCGACGAGTACAGGTTTTCTCTCATATTGTAAGATTATATCAATACAATCAGCATCTAAACTCAACCTTGGGCATTGACAAAATTCCATTAAAACAATGCTTTTTTACTATGATCTTGAAACAAGGTTAAATTTTAGTATAGTGATCTATGACACTTTTTGCCGTCGTTAGCAAGAGCCGTGGCAACGCACGGAGCAGAGCCTGCCGCAAGCAGGTGGTCTGCGAGCGTCATGGCGCGTGCTCCGTGTGCCGGTTCCGCCAGCAGAGAGCGGAGCATTGCGCGTGCGTTGCGAGGCCGCATTACCCGTGGAACCACCCGTTCGCCGTGATGATGCTGTCGTACTTACTCTGTATTCACACACGCAGCTCTCCAAGTACGTCTCTAATGCAGGTAGGTCTAATTAAGTATCTCACTTATTTAAAAAATCATATATCATATATCCTATATGATATATCTTCTGTCTTTAAGATGGTATTTTCTATTTATTTTGCCTCCGTAAAGAATAGGGTGAAACTTAAAAGACAAGCGATTTAGTGATTTAAAATGTATTTACAATTTAAACTTTTAAAATTTAAATTGTTACAATTTTAAAAGTTTTTATTTTTTTTGTATTACGACTTAGATTTCGTACTCTTGCACTTCTTCACAATTCTTATATTTTTTTTTGTTTTCTTTACCTCTGCCCCGTTGCACTACGTTTTTACTTTAATTAAGTTTTTTGTTAATATTATAATTATTTAAATCTTGTGCAAAATTGGAAATAAATAAAATAAGGTGGGAGGAAGTTAAACATCGGGACAGCTTTATAATATTCTTATAAAAGTACAACAGTGATTACTTTATGCGATTGTTGTGGCAGCAGATTCCGTTAAAATCAGTAATTCGACCAGAAAACTGACTCTATTGTTCGGCAAATATATAAAGAGATCAATGCACGGTGGAAGTCTTCAATTGTCCAAGATTCTATTCAATTGTGGTGGACTTCTGATAGCAACTTATAAAATAGTTCAATTATAAAGTGAATGCATACAATTACGCTACTTACGTTCGGCGGACAAGTTTTGAGATAACCGATAAAAGAAGAATCCAAGAAGTTTAATGACTTTTTGTTTGCCCTAAAAAGCTTAACTGACTCAACTTACAATCTTTATTGGATGGATTGAAAGTTTTATATGACATTTTATTATTCAGTAAGTGAATATTAATTATTCATTTCATTAATGGGAAATGCAATTAAAAAGTTCAATTCCCCTATATTACATTACGGCCACGCGATGTGCCGGACCTGAGCGAGTGCAAGCATTTAATTTGGATCCACTATGGACTTACTGATACACAATGTAATTTTACTTTAAAAGCGTTCACAATTGGTTTCAATTTGTTTAAATATTTCAAAACATTTAAAATGCTGCCAGTTAAAAGTACACTGCCACAGGGACGAAACGTTTTTAAATATTTTTAGTCTTTTAGTTCTTGGTTTGTTTTAAGATGTTCTCATTTTTTTTATATAACGATGCTCTAATGACAACCTTTATGTTGTATTGTCTTTGATTAACATAACCTTTACACATTTAAAGAAAAAACTTTTTAACCGGATTAAAGTTATGTATTATTATAAATTTACAATTATTTAACATAATTTTAAATTTATCCGACGTTTCGCGTGCTTTACAGCGTGCGTGGTCATGGTTTAAATAATTGTAAATTTATAATAATACATAACTTTAATCCGGTTAAAAAGTTTTTTCTTCAAACCTTTATGTTATATTAAATATCAAATTAGGTTTCTATAATATTATATTAATCACAATAAATAAATGATATCAAAACGTTTAAATATGTATTTTTATGTCAAAGTAGTATCCAAGTAAACAGGCTAATTAACATTTAAGACATTTGAATTATAACCGTTTTCTTTCAGGTACGAACGTGGTCTACGAAATTAAGTTATCATTGGTGATTCTATGGACTTGCATTTTTATTACGATAGGATTATGAGGCTAAGTTAGTTAGTGGTGATGTTAGTGTAAGTCTGTAGAGATATATAGTCAGAATAATTTTAGCATAAGAGCTTTACAAGTGCACAATTAAAGATTTAGCAAAATGTGTACATATTTTGTATATTAGGTTGAGTTTTTTTATTGATAAACTAATGGAAATTGCTACAACTATTTATTTTCAAATAATAGAAAGAAAAGAAAAGTGTGATACACATGTATTTACGATAAAAACATCATCTTTATATAGCTTATTTCTTTAAACTGGTCGCAAACAATCTATGTGTAAAACATAAACAACATCATCTGGACTCGCTTGATGCATCCACTTCCACCGCCGCGCCCCGCTGTGGACACCTTCTTTTGTTACTTATGTTTTTTTATTATGTAACTTAATCGTCATACACGAAAATAATTACTAGTAACAGCTAGAACAAAACACACTTGGCGAGCTTCGTTCATACCACATTATAGCATGTTTGTGACAACAGCACTACGGATATTGAAAGAACTAGATAGAAATTTAAAGTGCACATTCATATTTTGTTGATACGAATGGTAACTTAACAAATTGTGTCAATAATTGAAATTAGTCTTGGTTGTAGGTAGCTAGTACCTTATGTTATATTTACGGTAAATATGCGCTGACCAACATTCCCATACATTTCCCATACACAATTCGTGCTAAAACGTATACGTAAACACAGTTTTAGTTTGTGCCAAGTTAATATGACATAAAGCTCTTATGCTATAAAAAATAATATGTAAAACCCACATGTATTAATAATGAATATAATTCAATTGTGTCTGAATGATATGCTTAGCATTAAAATTTTATTTATTTTTTGTACGTTTAGAAATGATTATGTATAGAGATTTAGGTATATGGAGCGGGCATTGCCAGAAACTGTCATATAAAATCATTGCTCCTATGCATTAGTGACGACGAATCCACTAAAACTTATTTCGTTTAGTGCGAAGCCCGCTCACATCTCAACACTATATTTAAATCTCTTTGATTATGTATAATTTGTAAATAAACTTTTTAGCTAAATTGATACGTTTTTAGACTTGTAGAATTCACATAATGATTTCACTTAGGCACTGCACCTATATGGATTAAGTAACCTATTTGTTGATGTTCTGGTTATCTCTAGCAGAACTGAAATAAAAATGTCGTGTTTTTGTATATTTAAATATTTATAGAATTACTCAAATAAATATTACTTATAATATATAAAAAAAACACTTTTAAATCTCAGTAACGTAACTTATCGTGTGAAGCTCAGAGTTTTTCGATTCCTGAAAACAAACCCAAACTTTTTCTTTGGATTAATGATTTTTATACACGACACATAATTTAGGTTAATTACTTTAAAACATGATACATGCGTTTCAATTCGTTAAAATTTTTATTTCATTACTGCACATGTTTGCCCCCGCCTTTCGAACCATGTTGCCTATTCAAACGCTGTGAGGATATTTACAGAAATCTATTTGCTGTTTCTTTCAGGAAGTTTCCTATTTGACCCAAGTACTTAACGTATCTACACTCGCAGTCGTGAATTATATAACTGCATTCAGAAATTAATGTCGACCGCTTCGGCTTTAGAAACCTAGATTTATTTTCAACCATATTTCGCAATAATAGTTCTGTCACTGACCGCTATAACCGTCCATCATGGATTGTGCAATACCGCAATGAAATTGACATTTTCTAGTACCGATTTCATTGATATATCTGACTTTAAACTATTTTACAGTAATATTTAGAATATTAATTCTTTTCACCTTTTTAATTAAAAGGAACATAACAATTTAAGCCAAAATAAATTTAGGAAATTGTATTTTCCGTATGAAAAAACTCACGTAGGTCTAATACATATTTATCGAAAATTTCGTTTCTTTGAAGATATAGAAATGAAAATATTATATTATTTTTAAGCAACCTTATTTATTTAAATTTTGTTTCGTCCACAGTTACTAACTGAAATGTTATTTCTAAAATAAAATGTGTATTCTAGGGTATCACAAGAAAACTCATTGTTCATTAGCTTGTTTATCGATTTTTTGGTAATTGTATTTTATAGCGCATAATGTACGTCATCAACGCGTACGTGACTCTAATCAAATTTAAATTTATTTTTAACAGCGGAACTTGTAATTTATCTTGATAAGTTTAAAAATACGTTAGTGTATTTAATTTATACTTAAACCTTTTTTTTAATGATTATTAGCATTAACATCGTAAATTAATTTATTGAATACTTAAGTCTTACACTTTTTGTATATTTTGTACAATATCCTGATTCTATGATAAGATGTAATTAGTAAAAATAAATTAGTATTTAATCTATGGCTGTGTTTCACATAAGGTTAAGTCAATTCTTTGCACGATGTCGTCTTTATATTTAATGTCATTAAATTGTTTTAGTATGTTGTTTTTAAAAATACGTTAATAAATTATGGTATGAAATGTGTTTATTATTTTTAACCCTTAATTAATAAAGGAAATTTGAGAAATCCAAATTTGAATATGTTTTATTACAATATATATAAACTCCTTGTTCTTACTGATCCATCAACGTAAAGCACGATTAGAAATATGAAACCTGCGGGCCATAAAACAAAATGAAATCTTGACAGTTGACATTTTTAAGTTGTAGTAAGGATATTACTCAGATAATATAATTTGCTATCATATGTTATTAAAATATGAATTACTATCTGGTTAGATAATTAGTATGTATATGTAATTATTTATCCTTCCCTCTTACCTCTACGAAACCAAGGCCCATAAATGTTTATTAAAAGACTTCTCTGGTTATAAACTACTTTTCTTGTTCCCCTAATGAGATTTCCACTGACGAATAATCTGCTGAAATCGATTTTTCATTCATAAGCCACGACCCATACATATTCAGACGTGTCGCCTTCAGCGGGGTCTGATAATAGATGACTTTGAATAGCATAGCATTAACAGATCGAGTCGACAAGTCAAATCTACTAATTTTTAGCCACCAATTAAACGAAGGGATCGTTTTTTCCAAAAAAATTAAGTCCAACTTTAATATTTTCTTTGCTTAACAAAATCTAATAATATTACTGCTATAAGTTGGACAAAGGATCACCTACTAGTCATAAAATTATCAACGAAATAGATATGTATGTCAGAAGACTTCAATCAACAACAGTGTTCAGAAATTTTATTTGCATATCATTATAATCATACTTATTTTTGCTCTTAAAAAACACTATGGGTCGGCGTGCACTAATAAGCAATGTCATCCACCAGGTTAAAATGATAACTAAAGTTTAGTGATATACTTCAAACAGCAACAAAACAAAACAACTTCTAAAAACCTTTTAAAGTAGGTAAGATATATTTATAAGCTATAGCATAAACATTATCTAAAAGCATCTTCAGATAATTAAACTTCAAGTATCCAGAAAGCTCATTAAAACAAAAAGCCCCTGAGGAGGCCAAGTATTTTCGTCGCCTCTCAGATCATATTATCTGTATTACTGATACAAATGATACAGTTCCGCTGGGACGTGCCAAAAATCATAAAAAGTGTTTTAACGAGTAAAATTTCGCAATATAAAAAATGTATTTTAATTTATCAAATTGTTGTGTCCGTTCAATTAATACTTAGAAGCACATGTCATATAGCGACGAAATTCAATTTCGGTGCAAATCTTTCAAAATCCGTAGCGCTGATGTCGCAAACTTGGATTTATGAGATTCGAAAATTGAATATTGTAATCAAAATCGCTTTTAACGTTAAGCTTAAAACTTAAGCTTTTAATTCTGATTTCATAAGGATGCGTAATACAATGTACAAGTATAGCAGCACTTATAGCTTAAACCAGAATGTAGTCAATATATCTTAGAAGAGAGTGCCTGACTTGTGCACGAGTCTCATTCCTGAGGTGGTAGCTTTGAACTCTAGATATGCACCAATAAACTTTTCATTCTATGTGCGTATTTAACTCTCTCTTGCGGGATGGAAAATATTTTGAGGAAATGGGCATGCCTTAAATTCAAAAAATCGAAACGTCATGGATTAGGTTACGCATTCAGTAAGTACCATCGATTAATAATTGAAACAACACCAGTGCTAGACAGATATTTATAAAATCGACAATTAATATTTTTAAGTTACAAATCATGTTTTATTTAACACATCTTTCGTATACTGTATACGAAAGATGTGTTAAATAATTTTATGTGTTATGTCGCTTTAAAACACATATAGGTAATACTGTACAAATAACTTTTTGACAGAAGAGACTGAAAAATTTAAGATTTTTTAAATAGTATTTATATGAAGTATATACAGCTATGAAAATGAATAAAATAATACGCTCAGTTAAAAATAAAATAAAAGCTCTAGTCAAGCATAATAATTTTACCGCAAAATATTCCAAGTACCAATTTTTATTCACAGTTCGCGTGCAAATTCAAGCATTATGGAATAAATGAGATAAAATGTGGAAAAACATCTCGACAGCAAATTACAAGTGAAAGCTGAGGTTCAACTACAAAATATTATCATCCAAACCAAGCGACAATAATATGGAAATGCAAATTCATTTGCACATTAATGCATAGTGTAGTACGGCGACTTGTCATGAGCATGATACATTTCTATGCCAGTAATATTTTTAATGGGAAAGCTTCAAAAAATCTACTTCACCACATGGTGAAAACGAAGCAGTTTCTGACTGGGACTACTACATCAGAATATATTCTATTAATATTATTATTAGAACAAAGTGTACAGCAGTGTTGGTCTAGTTGTTTAAGCGTGAGGCTTTCATCCCATGCGTTCGAATCACGGCTGAGCACCAATGGAATTTTCTTTCTAAGTGCGCATGGAAAACATCGCGAGGAACCGGTATATCTCATAAACACGGAGGCTTCTTGTCTATAAAGATGATCGAAGAAACGGACGCAATCCAAGGCCATTTAGAATTGAAGTGCTATTGGATTATTAT